TGCTCCTCAGCCAAAAAAGGCTCTCACAGCGGCTTACATAAATTCAAAACAAGACATTCCCTATCTGCAGGCTTACAAGCTTTGTTTTATAAAAAAAATAAAAAATACAAGGGGAAAAAGGAAAATCAAAACTCAGGCACCAATTTCTAGACCATTGTTCCTGTATTGACCAGCTGACACAGTTCTGAGGCAGGAAGGTAGCTGATGGAGCTGAGACTCCAACAAAGGCGATGGAGTGAGCTCTGCTTCCTCTCTCCTGTTGATGCAGTTTGATGGAATGGCAGCCCGCAGGTGACATTTAAGGAAGGAGGCGGCCTGATGGAGCTGGCCTGTCCCAGCAGAGTCAATGGACCATTATGGTTGTGAGTCTTGGAAGACCTGCTCCCCGCCTTGAAGGCCTTCTTCCACCTGGCTGGGGTGGGTGGGCCCCTGGTTGAATCCAGCTACAAAGTCTGATACTCTTGGGCTGGGGTATTGTTTGGTGAGGTTTGTTTGGGGTGGGGTGGCGGTGGTTGCTGTTATTGATATCAAATTTTTGGTATCTTTATTTTGTATATTTATTATGATTCGTTCATAATAACTGAGAATTGATATTCTCATAGCACCACTTGCCAGGCTATACAGCAGACGTTTTTTCTGGAACCAAAACTCAGATACAGTGGTACCTCAGTTTTCGAACATAATCCTTTCCGGAAGACCGTTCGAGTTCTGAAACGTTTGAAAACCGAAAACTCAATAGCTGGCAGCTAGGCCACAGGAACTTGCATTCAGCAGAAGTCACGTGGCATGTTACTTGAGGGTTTATGGCGTTTGAAAACCGAAATGTTCATCAATGGAGATGTTCAAATACTGAGGTACCACTGCACATAGAAAGTTGAACTGGAAGCAGATATTACAAAAAAATGAAAAACATGGGGCTGCTGCTGAAGACACTTGCCACTCTTGAAATGCGGGGGAATAATGAAACAAATGTGTGTGTTTTTAACTGCACCCACCCTGCCAGACCTGGAAATAGGAGGCAGAGCTGTTGATAAGTTGCCGGAGTCATAGCACCCCAGTAGGCTCACCACTGGTAACTGCTCTGGGCACTCCAGGGAGCAGGTCTTCTAGGACTGACAGGCCAAGATATTGCAATGGTGTCCACCAATAGTATCACTTGTACAGCCCAGTGCACAAATTAGACTATCTAAAAGCATTGTGAGCTGCTTGCTGGAAGCAGGGGAGGCAGGAATGTGACAATCTAATAAAAATTATGGGAGAAGAGGAATGGAATGAAATACACAGGAAGATATCAGGGCTAAATGGCTGGCACCTAAACTAGAAACACTCCACACTGCAACACTTCGTTGCAGGTCCCACTTGTTAACTTCTAATAGACATATTTTACCGAAAACAGTGATTTATAGGTTGTCACAAAAAGAGAAAGGAAAATATTTTTACGGTTCTCGGGTAATGACGTCAAAGCTTTATGTTTTCTGTGTGACTAATTATCGGTTTTAAACTGTCAAGAGCTACAATTCCGAAAAGCAAAATGAAGAAAATGTTTTGGCGCCACTTTCAGTTTGGAAAACAAATACGAGAAGTGAGTCGCATCAGTTCAGGGCATTTTCAAATATCACAAGCCTTCCACACCACCATGTTATATTCACTGCAAGCCTTTTAAACAATTAATATGGCAGACTGAGTTTGTTACACAAACGGGAAGTTGGCTCTCAGTGGCTGGAATGCAAATTCACAAGCCTCTGGTGTACAACCACCTCCAAACGGGGAACAGCTCCTAGCCAACTCAATCCTTGCAAAAACTGCAAAACTCAACACCAGAAAAAAAGCCACAAAATAAATTTATGTCCAAGGCAGTCAGTCAACGGTGTTATGAAAAGGGATCGCTGCACTATAAAATACTTTATGGCAGCTGTTTTATAGATGCCAAATAATTCCAGCATTACACAAGGAGAGGACAGAGGTATGGGAAAGGCAACCCAGCCATAGAGCTGGTAACTTATTTTTATTCCTGCTCAGCGGCTGCACGGCGTTCTGGAAAATTACAGAGAAAATTCATGGACCTATAATCACAAATGCCAACTATCATTTGACATGCTTTTAAAGCCTGTCAGTATAGCATTTTTTATATATATAAAGGCAGTTAAGACTGTTCTTACTCAAAGGAGCATAAAGAGAGCTCTGCTGGAACAGCTCACGGAAGGCCATCGAGAAAGTAACAAATCTATTTCCAAAGCCATTTGGGTATTCTGGCAAATGTGAAGGCCTTTCCAGTGGTGACGCCCCAGTTGTGGAATGCCCTCCTTTCCCCTCTTTATCTTTGTGGTGCCAGGTGAAAGCGTTATTTTCCTAGGCACTGTATATTTAACTTTTAGTGCTTTTTCATGCATGTTTTCAATGGTGTGATGTTTCTGGTTTTCTCTCTTCCATTTCCATTGTGATCACCAAGTCACAAGTTACCATTTGCAAAACTGTATTGCTCAAAGCCTTGTTCAAAGCAGTGTCGCTGACTGGTGTGTGAAATCAGCCATGGCTACTACATCTTCCTAGCCCTCTTTTATACAGTGGCGGCAAAGTTCCAGTTGCCATGGCCATGCTCTCTGCATTTGGGTTTGGGCAGAAAGGGACTGCCTACCCAACCAGTCAAGGTAGCCAAGGGAGTTTAGACACAGCCATTTTTCTCTGCACCAGGCACAGTCACAGGCAGATGAGCTAGTGGGCTTGATGCGCACTTCTTTGCTGCCATGACTGCCACTAGGTAAGCTCCATGATGAACCCTCACCAGTGTTCAATTGCATTCGACTGCAGTTTCCCTCCACTCGCATTCGAACTGTCTCTCAGCTTGTTTCCTCGCTCTAAGTTCTGGAGTATACTAAGAGCCACAAAGCAGGAGAAGGCATATTAAATTATCTATGGCCTTTCAAACTGTGTGTGTTGGGAAGGTATAGCTTTAGTTTGTTACTACATTGTGTCAGGGTGGATTTGATTTAAATCAAACAATTTAAATCACAATTTAAATCACTAGTCAGTAAAACTTGATTTAAATCTCTCTTTTTTTGTACAGCAAGACTTATTCTTGCTGGTATCATCTTAATACCGTGTTTACAACCAGATAAAGGTTTCATTTTCGGAATAATAAATGTTCAGAGTAGTTTTTACTGATTTGGTCATACTGTTAGAAATACATAGACAGATAATTATGAAATTATTGTGAGGTTTAATAAGTTAACTGTTTATATTTGGACAACTTTTCTGCTGTACTTTAATGGAAGGAGAAAAATAATCATTTCCTTAATAACAACTTAAACAATTTATTTAACTAAAACAATAACATTATAGCATATGTATCCATGTTTGTTAACTCATGTGGTTAAACAATGTTTTTAAAAAAAAACTTTTCTGAGTTTTAGCACACATGAAAAACTTAAAACAAATCCTTATTTCCTGATGAATAGCCTTTGGACTATAATTTAACTTAAATAGAAAACTATCTTTAGAAATACTTTTCTTCCAAAAGCATTTTATTTTAAAAATCCGATATAAATTTTAAAAAATCTGATTTTTAATTTTAAAAAAATCATTGATTTTTTTATCCACCCCAAAATGTGTATTTTTGTGCTTTTATATTGGAAGCCGTCCTGTGATCCTCAGATGAAGGGCAGTATAGAAACATAATAAAATTAATATTTGCTGTACCTTTATGGACCTACCTACACGTCCTTGTTCATGCCCAAGTGAATACACAAAGGCTAGGTTTGCTTGTAACACCAAACTGTAGCTTAACAGATTGTGTGTACAAGCCTGACGCATTTCTTCCTCCCCTCCCTGCCTCCAAGATAACCACAAAGAGGAGATCAGAAGCTTTCACTTCTGTTTTCAACTTAACCACATTTTAGTGTTGCTTCTGAACTTGAAACTATGATTATTAACATTAACCGGTTCATTGAAAACAAGCCAGGATCTTTAACCAAAGTTCGACCTTCCAGCAAACCATAGTTATTACTAACCGCAGATTGAGTGGGTTCAAACATAATGAGAACTGTGGTTAGTTGAAAATGGGAAGGTTTTCACCCAGCCATAGCTGTCAACTTACAGATTTGAAAATAAGGGACCAGCAGCCTTGATAATAAGGGATCAGCAGCCAAAATAAGGGATTTTCCGGGCACAGGTATGTTCAACTTCTGAGCCCCTCCAAGCCAAAGGCAGAAAGCCCAGCCAGCAGCCAAACGAAGCCTCATCAATAAGGGACAGCAGCGGGACATGGCGGTGGGATAATGGAATGTCCCGCCAAATAAGCGACGTTTGACAGCTATGTACCCAGCTGGAAACTTTGAACTTTGATCGTGCTTCTTGCTTTCCTGGGTGGAGAATGCTGGGGGTGGGTTAGAGCTAGTTTACTGTGCAGAGGGAAAATCAACACTTTCGCTTGCAGCCCAGCCTTCATTATAAACATGTGGCCTTCAAAACGTTGCCCAGAATGGAACACAGCCATCAGTCTGAAAAGGTTCTCCTTCCAAGGTAGACCGAGCCTAAGAATCCCACAGCATAAGGGCACTTCACCATCCTGTCAGCTTTACTGCTGCCATTAAGTTATGTGGCTGTGAAACAGAATACAGTAGTACCTTGGTTCTCAAACACCTTGGTTATCAAACGCCAAAAACCCGGAAGTGTTTTGGTTTTTGAACGTTTTTCAGAAGCTGAACATCCGATGCGGTTGCTGGCTATTGTTTCCGGGGCACCTGCACCAATCAGAAGCTGTGCCTTGGTTTTTGAACATTTCGGAAGTCAAACGGACTTCCAGAACGGATTAAGTTTGGTGCTTTTCTTTTCGCTATTTACCGGTATTTTGCGTTTTTGTTTTTTAGGCTTTTTCAGTTAATTTGTTTTTGTGACTGTGTGGAACCCAGTTCAGCTACTGATTGACTGACTGATTGTGTGACTGCAGAAATGGATAAAAGCCCCCCATCCAAACAATGACTATTATCAGTGCAGGTAAGAAAAAAAATTTAATTTTAATTTTTATCAACTACAATACTGCCTTATTTATGCTAATCTTCTCTGTATCGTTCCAATTTTAGTATATGTGCTGCCGAAGCGAGCACAGCTGTCTTATTTATTTTATAGTACAGTACATTGAATATTGCTTTCATTTTATGGATCAATGGTCTCGTTAGATAGTAAAATTAATGTTAAATTGCAGTTTTAGGGGTACTTTTTAAAAGTCTGGAACGAATTAATCCATTTTGCATTACTTTCTATGGGAAAGCATGCCTTGGTTTTGGAATGCTTTGGTTTTGGAACCGACTTCCGGAACAGATTGAGAACCAAGATACCACTGTATGGAATTGGAGCTGATGAGCTCTGCTACAAGGCCTTGCCCTTTTAAGTAAGGCACAAACATGGCAACTGCAAAGCACAGTCTTGGACGTCACTCCATGGGTCTTCTATAAACTAATTTGTATTAGAAGGCAGCAGAGATTATGTCAAAACACAAAGGAAGCCATGAGTGGAAACAGGAACAACCTCTGAATGCTGGATACAAAACTAATCACTAAATGTGACAGAGATTGTGAAACATTCTGCAAGGCTTACTGTATTTGGGCACATATGAGTGAATCAAAGTTTTGGCTATTAGGCAACACACATTCCTGTGGTGTTTAAAAGAATATACAAAACGACATTACAATTTTTCCTCTCGATCCTGTCTTCAATCAAATAAATGCATGCCACCTTTTATATAGCATTTATATAGCAATTAAGAGTAGAATATATTTGAACTTGTTCGTCTTCAGAGCCACTATGTGAAACAGAATAGAACATTTAATTTTGAAGAGGGAAATGGAAGCCATTAAGTAGTTAACTGTCCTAGCAGAATCCAACTCCATGATGGAAGATAAGGTGGTTGAAGTGGGCAAGCCCAAAAACCCTCCAAAATCTCTATCCACTGAGACATACTGACAAGTGATGAGATTTGAACAGATCACAGCTGGAGGTATTTGAATAAAATAAGAGTTTAGTTCCCATTTTAAAATATTTGGAAACTTCTTCCCACATATAAACTATCAGTTATTTGCTGTGGGTATAAAATATAATAAAAGTGAATAAATAAATCAGCAGCTGCCTTCACTGAATTTGTTCACCAGATGGCAGCAGGAAGACGATATTGTGGAACAAACAACAGCTTCAATGTCAGATCTACATAGAAAATGAACTTGCTGGGTTCTGTTCTAAAAGGGTTCCCGATAGTTTTTGAAACAACACACTGAGTCAAAGGTCACTTCATCTCTGCAAAGAGATCCTGGTTGAACTTCCTGGAAAACCAAGGTGGTATTTCCATTGGTCAGCCAGTCCCTGACATCAGAGAGCTCGTTGTCTGTATTCTTTAGAAATCCGTCTTACTCAAGGAAAACCATTTAGTTATTCCGTCAACAAACGAAGACTTAGTTTACAGAACATATAATGGGGCCTTCTTGACAGCAGAGCCCATGTTATGGAACAATTCCTCGTCCCCACCCAAGGCCAACACTGTTTCTAGTTTACAACACCAGATTAAAAATGTATATATTTTCTGCCAGGCGCTTCGGAATTAAGAGTGGGCCTGTTTTCTTGAGTACTGTGTATATTGGATATGAATTTTACAATATGTACAGCAGATTTTATAAACATTTCATTGCCAATTTTATATATGTAGCCAACCCTCTGGTAATTTTTAATGACCAATGGTGGACTATTGAATAAAAATAAATAAATAATCAAATTTCACTTAATGCAAACGTATGGGAGTATTTCTCTGTGGGCACGGTGAAAATAACACCCTGCAATCGATCCTAGTTCCTCCCAACTGCCAAATAAGGCAGCTGAGACAAGCACACATGAGGAATTTCACCAGGGAAAAAAGTCACCCTCTCCGATTTCAGATGCTTATTTGACTTCTTACATATACACACCCTTCAGAGCCAATGGGAGAGAGCTTTCTGTCTTTTTCTCGTGGTTTGAATGTATTGGATTTGGAAGAATTCTGAATCTTGAGGTGCCTCAGGGGGACTTTGGATGACAAAAGTAAAGCAAGATCAACTCAATGTGGGGAGCACAAAGTGCTTCTGTTGGTATTTTTAGTGTTTGGTTGTAATTAGTTTAAAAGAATAAAATGAGAATTCCCTGGATGCCTAGATCAAGGTATGGGGCAAGTATTTTTTAGTGAGAAAAAGCCCCAGCAGAAATTTGAAATCACAAAACTTCCAGCAAAGTAAAGCATGGAAATATGGGCTGTTAGACTTTTTAAAATTTCTTCCAAAGGCTGTTATACCTTTTACGTCGTCCCCCCCCAAAGTTCCCCTTACTTCCCTTAGCAAGAAAAAGAAACCATGCATTTGGGAAGTTAAAAATGATTTACTTACAAACTCTTCAAAGGTGAGATTCATGTGCTTTTCCATAAAGCAGCAAGAAAGGAGAGGCTGTGCAACTTAATTTCAAAGTTCCTAAATTATTTGTATAAAAGCACAAAGATGGCTTGCTAAAGATACACAGTCCAGGCTTGTAGCAACCAGCCTAAACATCCTTCTTGGTCAGTTACATGGTGAAAAACAAAAAGAACAAAGGCTTTTGGCAGGACTGCTTACTCTATGGTCCTCTATGAATTAACTAGAACTAAGCACATTGCTGATATGAAGCTGGTATTTATTCCACAACTTCATGGTGTCTAAGTGACCCAGATGCTTAAAAAAATGTTGCAGGCAGCACCTGCCAAAAGCACCTGCTTTTAGCATCTCCTAAAAGTGAAATTAGTGGAAAATGGTACGGTGGGTCAGCAGTAGTCATCAGACCTCCAAGACAGCAGTCACTGATTAATACTAGCAAGGAGAGGAGTAAAAGTGAGGTTGGGGCAGCACAAATGCATCAGCAGGGCCAATAACTGCTTCTGTTGGTGCATTTATACTGTGCCAACTCCCCAATGCCTCACTCCTCCCCTTCCCAGGAAGCAGTCAGGGGGTCAGGTGTGTGCTAGGGCTGTGCAATAAATTGCCATAACATTGAATAGATGTATTGAAATAACATTGTGATAAGTGTTTCAACAGGGCAATATATCAGTAAACAACCGCTGGTGAAAAAAATAGGGAGAACCATTTTTATTTTCTGGTGGTGTTTATGTTGTTGGTTGCCCCTAAATAGCTTTCCTACATCTTAAAAAGGAAGGGTTGTTTTGCTTGCCTGCCCTCGCTCCCTCCCTTTGATAAAAAGGGAGAGATTGGTGGGATGAGGGCTTGGGGGTGGGGTTCTGTGGGGAGGGGTAGAGGGGAGAAGATATCGCTGGCTGCCTTATGCTGAAATGGGACATTGGGTACTATGTGAGAATGACGGGGAGGATGTTTTTCGGTAAGCAGTGCAAGCAAATGCATGTCTACTCACGAGCATGCCCTACTGAATTCAATGAGGCTTACTCCCAGGAAAGGAGATGCAAGTTTAGGTGAACTCAGTGGGGCTTATGCATGCATAGATTCCACTTAGACCTCTGAGTGGGGAAGCAGATGCAATATGACTAGTAAATCAATTAAACTACTCTTAGATGAGTTGAAAATGTATTAAATATATTATATGGAAGTTTATTTAATATTTTTTATTAAATCTCCTACTTCTTTACATTTTAAGGCCGTTGACCACTGCAGAGAGCCTCGTCAAGGCCCTCGGCTGCTGTGGGAAAGCGCGGAACACCCTCCGCCACTGTGGGGAGGTATGGTGGGAGCCTCTGCCACCACAGGGATGCGCAGCAAAGTCCTCTGCTGCTGCAAAGTACAGCACACCCTCCGCCATTGCGGGGAGGTATGGCATTACAAAGGGACTGCCCAATGTATGGGTCCTTTTGGACCCAGAAGAGGGTGGAACAGGGGTGGGGGCATAACAGTTTTATGTGTGCTTCGCTGACTTGTGCGGTGGCCAGGAAAGGAACCCTCACACAAAATGGCCGCAACCTGTACTGTATTGCAGTTCAAGGACACATTCCAGCCAAATAAAAGAGGGCACAGAGAAGGACTAGTGAAGGGTACGGCCTGAGAAGAAATGTTGCCGAGTGATGATCCTGAGGGCCTGATAGGGAGGGCCTGGTGGGCCACATTTGTTGCGCACACACCCGGGCTACTTCTGTCTTACAGTCAACAGAAATATTTTGGTTCTTTTATTTGCTTTTTTCTACACAGTACTACACATATTTTGAACAGCCAGTTGCTCCCCCCACTCCATTGTCCCTGCTAGCTTCTTTTTTAGAACTGCAAAAGTATGTAGAATCTCTCTTAAAATAACAGGATATGTGCACAGTTCACCACCTCTCATTTCAACTAAACACTATTTCGACCTTTTCCTGAAATTCTGAGTCCTACCAATGCTAGCTCATTTTTTGCGTGTGTGTGTGTGTGTGTGTGTTTTAAATTTGGAGTGCTTATAATATTGGTCAGGAACATAAAGCAATAGGCCTGCAAGCACATGGATACCACATGAGCTGCTAAGTTACTGAAACAAAGAATGCTTCACAACACACAGCTAATTTCTTAACTTCCCAACACTCACATGCCCGGCAAAACTATATATTTTTAGACAAAGCTGAAATAATAGCAGCAACTAGAATACAGAAGCGAGGAGGGGGTAAAGTTTACTGACCCCTTTTGAAGTTTCCCTAAAATTGCTTTATGAAGAAAGTTGCATACAAACAAGGCATGTTTGTAATATTAACAAAACGAGCGGTAACCCTTTGAACGATGCACACTTGAGGCTCTGTATGTAAACACTCCTGTTCGTGGTTAAAATAACATTCTCTTGAGACAGGGATGCGAATTGTGTGGCTCCAGATGGTGTTTGACTACAACTCCAATCATCCCTAACTGTCAGGAGTGAGCAAGCAGTAAATCACACCGTGCAAGTTGGAGTTAACTCTTTATTACTAATAACAAGATTGGTATGGACTTTCCAGAGTGTCAGGCCTAATGAACACAGCAGCTCAGTCCTGTGGATCAGTTGCGGAGACTGAAAGTCCCTACCTTTGAGTATCCTAAGTCGCCATTAGCTTTTACAAAGGGCTGCGTTTTAATGAATTGTGAATGAATCAGTGTTAGAT